TAGAATAGAATAGAATAGAATAGAATAGAATAGAATAGAATAGAATACCTTATTGGCCAAGTGTGATTGGACACACAAGGAATTTGTCTTGGTGTAAATACTCTCAGTATACATAAAGAAAAGGTACATTCATGAAGAATCAAGAATCATAATGTACAACACTTAATGATAGTCATAGGGTACAATCAACAATCAAATCATACTAGGAAACAGTCAAGTGGGAGGGGATGGGTGATAAGGAGTGTGAGAAGATTAACAATAATAGTAGTGCAGACTTTGTAAATAGTTGAACAGTGTGGAGGGAATTATTTGTTTAGTACAGTGATGGCATTTGGGAAAAAACTATCCTTGTATCTAGTTGCTCTGGTGTGCAGGGCTCTATAGCATCGTTTTGAGGGAAGGAGTTGAAACAGTTTATGTCCGGGATGTGAGGGGTCATAAACTGTTTCAACTCCCGTTTTAGATAGCAGATATAATTAGGGACGTAATTATGAGTACATGAAATGGGTATGAATAAAAAGGAACATTGGGACAGGGAGGTTAGGCGCATTGGTGCACTTATGCACACCCCTTAGAGAGCTCTTAGGAATGGAGTGAGGCCAACAGGAGACAAACTAAGGTTTAAAGTTTCAGTGCATCTTTTTCACTATCCATTGGATATTCTTTTGTTGGAAGAAAAAAATCCATCTGGTTCAGTTCTAAGTGGGGAGAAAGGCACTGGAAACATGGCGGGGCTGGTTGGAAAGATGGTTTATTATTGGTGAACAGGACCACATGGGTTTTGGGGTCCTGGGCAGCTGATCCCACGGAGTGGAGAGTGAGAAGTATTTATACCCACTCTTGGGCCTCGCCCTTGAGCTTCCTGTTCCTGTGCAAGGGCCTATATTCTATTGGTTGACAGACTCCCAGGGGGCCATGCAGGGGTCATAGCTGAGGTTGTCTGAGATACGTTTGGTTGAACCTCGCTGGGTGAAGGGGCTTGGTTGGGCCATGGGGTGAGCTCTGCTGATGGATAATCCTACGATGTCTTGAAGGACCATGTCTTAATCCCATCACCCTGGAGCTGAAGGTCTTTTGTCTTGTAGAGAGGCTGGCCCAGTCCTGCTGGGGCTATTAAGAAAGACTCGGGGGGCTGCCTTTCAAGAGCCTGTTTCTCCTTTAGGGAAATATAATATTCTGCCTTTTTAAATATTTCTCAAAGTGTTTCATTCTTCTAAGAGAGGTCTGGGGGCTAACTTTGTACACTTCCAATGCCCCCTTTTTTAAATTTCTTTAATCATCCGGCATCCTTGCGATGTTCCGCGCCCTCCCATTTTGCTTCGTAAGAAGAGTCAGTCAACGTCGCTGCGGGGACGATTCATTGTCATTATATTTTTGGTCTTCCCAGCGGGGCCTTTTAATTCTGTTTGAGTCCACTCCACCATTCCAGCTGTGTATCTAATGACTGGAATTTGCTACGTGTTAATTGCCTTGACGGTATTTCCTCCACTGAGTTTGGAACTTTAAGATCTTCTTCGCTCTCTTGATGTATTCACTCCTGGGCTCTTCCTGGACTTCGCTGGCCTTGATGTTGTCAGTTTGAAGGATGCCCAGGTAGAAATACGATCAGTTCATCCAAGCTTTTGATGTTATTTCTGTAGGGCATTTTGATTCCTCTAATTTTTACTATTATTCCCCGTCTGATGGTAAGCATGGCGCGTTTTGTCCAGTACAAACGCCATTGCAATATCTTGGCTGTACAGACAGAGAGTAACAGAATACCAGACGGGGAGGGGGCCTGGTAGGTCATCTAGTCCAGCGGTCACCAACCAGTGGGCCGAGGAGCACTGGTGGTCCCTGAGAAAATTTTGGTGGTCCACAGAAAAACGTCCGTCCCCCCCAAAGCAATTAACTCAGGCTGCACAGGAACACAAGGCTGCCCTGCCCACATGGCCTGCCCACCCACTGGCCCCCACCCTTCAGCTGAGTGCAAACCTTGAGTAGAGCCATGCGAGCTGGAACTGGAAGGTAAGATCAACAGCAGAGGAGGGAAATCCGCCCTGGGGTGGTTTGCTGACGTTGGTGGGAAAGTCGGTCCCCTATTCCAGAGATGCAGGAGTCACAGGACTGGCCCTTTGGTCACCCCAGAGCAGCTCCTCCAGTCCATGGCAGGCCGGTGCACCCAGGTGGAGGAGCAGTTACTCCAGGTTGACCAAAGGGCCAGTCCTGTGACTACTGCAGCTCTGGAATATCGGACTGACTCTCCCACCAATGTCAGCAAGCCACCCATCAGTCAAAATTCAAATTAGTGGTCCACCGGAGTTAAAATTATGAGTTTGGTGGTCCCTGAGGTCCAAAAGATTGGCAACCCCTGTTCTAGTCCAACCCCCCTGCCCAAGCAGGAGCCCCTACACCATTTCTGACAGGTGGTGGCCCAACTTCCGAAGGCAACTTCTGTTCCATGGGTTGATTGTTCTAACTGTCAGAAAATTTCTCCTTATTTCCAGGTTTATTTTTATTTTACTTGGTTTGTCAATTGCTTACAAGATAATAGGTATAAGTAAAAACATAGTTATGAATACATGGATACATATAAGAAAAATAAAAGAAACAATAGGATAGGGATGGTAGGCACATCGGTGCGCTTATGCACGCCCCCTACAGACCTCTTAGGGAAGGGGTGAGGTCAATAGTAGACAGTCTAAGGTTAAAGTTTTGGGGGTTTGGGGAAGAAACCACAGAGTCAGGTAGAGGATTCCAGACATTGACCCCTCTGTTGCTGAAGTCGTATTTCCTGCAATCGAGTTTGGTGCGGTTAACCTTGAGTTTGTATCTATTGTGTGCTCTTGTGTTGTTATGGTTGAAGCTGAAGTATTCATTTGCAGGTAGGACATTGCAATGTATGATTTTATATACTATACTTAGATCGGACCGAAGGAGGCGTAGTTCTAGGTTTTCTAGGTCTAGAATTTCAAGTCTGGTGGCATAAGGTCTTCTGCAACGAATCTCTCCTGGTTCAGTTTCCATCCATTATTCCGTGTGTGGCCTTCAAGTGCCTTGGAAAATAGCTTGACCCCCTTCCTCCTCTCTGTGGCAGCCCCTCAAATATTGGAAGACTTGCTATCCTGTCTCCCCTGGTCCTTCTCTTTACTAGACTAGCCAGGCCCAGTTCCTGCAAACGTTCATCCTATGTTTTAGCCTCCAGTCCCCTCATTGACCTGGTTGCTCTTCTCTGCATTCTTTCTAGAGTCTCAACACCTTTTTTATAGTCTGGTGACCAAAACTGGATGCAGGACTCTAGGTGTGGCCTTACTAAGGCTTTACAGAGTAGTATTACAACCTCCCTTTATCTCGACTGTATCCCTCTGCTAATGCAACTTAGGATTGCATTGGCTTTTTTGCCGGCTCCTACACACTGCTGGCTCCTATTTAGCTGGTTGTCCACTAAGACTCCAAGATCCCTCTCCCAGTAGCTGCTATTGAGCCTGGTTTCACCCAGTCTATATGTGTCCTTTGGGTTTTTCTTGCCTAAGTGTAGGACTTTACTTTTCTCTACATTGAATTTCATTTTGTTAAATAGGGCCCAGGGTTCTAGTCTGTCAAGATCCATCTAGATCTTGAGCCTATCTTCTAGGGTGCTAGCTCTTCCTGCCAGCTTAGTATCATCTGCAAATTTGATAAGTTCCTTTCTATTCCATCACCTAAGTTGTTTATGAAGATATTGAAGAGTGTTGGGCAGTGATTCCATTTCTTTTTAAAAAAAATAAATTTCATTAATTTTACAATTAAAAACAGATCTACATACATACACAAAAAACAAGGCCTTGACAAGGCCAAGAAAGGGAAGAAAAAGAGAGATGTAAAAAGGAAGAAA